CCCCCCCCCCCCCGCTCCCCTGCCCTGGACCTCGGTGCGGCCCGGGGCAGCCTCATGCCGGGCTCACGGAGTGGCGCCGCCCGTCCAAGCTGGCGCCGGGTCACGCTGCTGCACCCGCTGCTCGGGCTGCTGCTGCTCCTCCTGGTTGGAGGGCTTGCACCGCGGCCGTCCTCTTCCGTCGATCTGCCCGTGCCGGAATTCCACACCGTCTGGCGCCTGGACTCCGCCATGTCCGTCGAGCAACATGCGAACATTCAGTTCTGCGATTTCTACTCCCAGCGCCGCTTGACCATCGGCGGGCCGGATGGCTATGACGACATCGCCTACACGCGGTCCTTCTACTCGGTGCGCACGTCGCCCGAGGGCAAGCGCCGGTCCGACTTCGCCGGGGAGCGTCCGATGCGCTTCCTGCCCGGCATCATGATTCCGATCTTCTGCTTCACGGACTATCCCTTTGTCCGGGGCCCGGTCCAGCCGATTTCCGTGTATTCCAAGCTGCTGACCAATGCCCTGGATGCCTTCGACTCGCTGGTATACGTGTCCACCTCGGCCATCCTGCTGAGTGAGCGCAATGTGGCCGAGCTGCCGATCGGCGGGTACAGCCCGGCCATGATCTACGATTCGGTCTCGCCCCCGCGCATGGCACCACACCTGCTCACCCTCTATGGCAGTAGGGTCCACCTGAAGCCCCTCCAGGACAACATCTTCTCCTCCGATCTGACCGACAACTTCGGGCTGGCGTTTCCCCACCTGCTGGCAGCCACCGACCTTGATGGGGATGGGCAGGTGGATGCCGTCACCACCGGCACCCTGCCCCTGGATCCCAATAGCCCGTATTCCATCTACTGGCTGCACAACATCGGTCGGTCCACCACCGGCAGCAAGGTGTCCGACATTTCCCTTTTGTATCGGCTGCCGGCGGGCTTTGTGCCGCAGCAGATCGTCGTCGGGGACTTCGATGGCGATGGCCTGGCCACGGATTTGGCCGTGGTCTCCGGGGCCACGTCCACCATCCCGGAGCAGGTGGTTTTCATCCTGTCCTCGAGCCTCAGCTCGCCGGTGCACCTTTCTCTGGAGGACATGACCAGGGACGACCCGGCGCTCGCCAGCATCCCGCTCAAGAGCCGCTGGCCCAAGGTGGCTGTGGCACCGAAGTTGCTGGCCCCCGGCCACTCCAGCCTCATTGTGGCGCATGGCAGCCGCGTGTGGCTGGTTCCCGGGCCCATCCTCCCGGTCAAGGGCCAGGTGTCCCATGTCGGCCTGCGAGCGGTCAAGGGCGCGCCCCTGCTGCCGGACTTCCCCTCCACCGAGGGTGTTTGGTATTCCGTGGCCACCGGGGACTACGATGGCGATGGTCGACTGGACCTGGCTCTGGCGCACAAGTCGTCCGGGGCCAATGTCATGCTCCTGTCCCAGGTGCCCGCCTCGCCAAGCTGCCTGTGTGGTCCAAACGCCCGATGCATTCCCAGCCCGGAGGGCTTCTTCGCGCCGCCCTCATGCGAGTGCCTGGACCCGCATGCGGGTGCCAGCCCCGGCCTGGCGCCGTGCGAATTCTGCCACACCGGCTTCTACCGTGTGGGAGGTACGCATGCTTCTGCCGTCCAGCTGCCCGGGTGCCCTGCTCCCGCGCCGCCCGTGCATGCGGCCGAGCCGGGCTGGGGTTTGTGTTTTCCCTTTCTCTTGGTGATCTCTTCAGGCTTTTAACATTCCCCCCCCCCCCCCCCTCCCCGTCCGGTCTTCCGGCATGCAGACGGCCCCTGCCAGGCGTGTCACGAATCGTGCGCCACCTGCACCGGGCCGCTGGCCACCGCGTGCTCGTCCTGCCCCGAAGGCAAGGCTCTCCAGCAGGGCGCCTGCGTGAGTCCCGGCGCCCCGGAGGTGATTGTGACGCTGGACCCCCCGAGTCAGCCCTTCTTCGATGCGACGGTCGACGGGCATTTTGCCCTCCCCGGTGCGTCGCACAGCGTGGCCTCGGCCTTTTGGTCTGGCTCGCCCATTGGCGTGCTCATGGACATGGTGGAGACACACATGCGCCTGCGGTTGGACTTCATCGCGCACCCCTCCGGCGAGGGCGTGGACTTCTTCTCTGGCTATGACAACAGCGGGTCGGTGGCCTTCAGCGCCAGCCGCCTCGGGGGCGGCTATCGCGCCACCACCCACCCCACCAGCAGCCTCAGCTCCCGGCCGCTGATCAAGTACAACCAAAAGATCCCCATGATGATGAACGCCCGGAACCTGCTAACCTGCGCGGAATCCAGCCTGTCTGGACGGTGCCAGCGCATGCAGGAGAATATCGGCTGGGACTTCACCAACATCACCCTCGGTCGGGTTGTCGGCGAGGAGGGCCCGGAAGCCATGCTTCGTGTGCACCTGGGCCCGCAATTCGGCTCCCGGGCCATTTCCAACACCACCATCTCCTCGGTGCACTGGGCCGCTGTGGACAATGACTTTGGCATTGAGACCATGGTGGTGCTGAACCACCTGCCTGCCGGGCAGACCGACTGCGAGCTCCTGTGGTATCCCTTCCAGTCCTTCGACATCCTGCATTTGCCGGCCCTGCCAGCGGAGACCCTCATCCCGCGGCTTCCCTGTGGGATGCTGGTGCCTCTGTTGCCGAGTCCAGGCCAGCGGCCTTCCTTCCTGCTGATCCCGCGGAATCCCACGACCGCGACGGCGGCCACCGACGGCCAGCCGGCCCTCCCCGCGGGTGGGCTGGTGTTCCTCCTGAGGAATGTCGCCTCCGGCAGCGACTTCCGGCCGAACTTCCTGCCGGCCCTGCCGCTGCTGACCTTCGCCGACCTCGGGTACGGTGAGCTGGTCCCACCCTCGGCGTTGCTGTCGGCCGCGTCCGATCCCCTGGTCATGGATGCCGGCCGGGCGCGGATCTTCCTCTGGTCCGGCGATTGGCTGCACCGGGTGGATGTGCGCTTCGATGACCAGGCCCCCAGGACGCACTCGGTGGCTGTCAACCACCAGCCCCTGGTCCCGCGCCGGTCCTTCCAGGCCTTTGCCGGTGGTCCGGTGGAGGTGGTTGTCCTGGATGTGGAAAATGACGGCCAATCGGAGGTGGTCCTCTTGAATGGGGCTACCCGTGTGGGTGCCATCTTCCGCCAGGCCAGCCCGTCCAATGGCTGTGGCTGTGGTGAAGTTGGTCGCTGCACCAAGTTGGCCGACTGGGACCGGGGGGCCCTTTGCCCGGCGGCCAATCTTTCCACCTCCCCCGGTGGTGGTGCTGGTGGTGATGATGATGATGATGATGATGCCGGCGAAGAGGTCGATGGCCATTCGCCGGTCGGCGCCCTGGGCTGCTCCTTCCTCCCGACCGGCCTTCTGGTGGAGGACCTGTGCGAGTGTGCACAGGGCTTCCACACGCCCGGCCCGGAGGCTGAGCTTTGTAGCCAGTGTAGCTCGGAATCCGGCGCCCCGAGCGGCTCGGCCGGGGTGAGTGACACCACCGTGGCCGGCCTCACGGCCGGGACTGAGGCTCGCTGTTCCAGCTGCTCGATTGATGGGTGCCAGCTGTGCCAGAATGCCCGGTGCATGTTGTGCGACCCGGGGCTCCTCATCACCGAGAAGGGGCTGTGTGCCAGCCGCTGTGACATCCGCGACGCTCCGGTGGAAGATGGCAAGTGCCATGCCATCGGGCCCCAGGATACCTGGCTGGCGGCCCAGCATTTCCATGTCCATGCGGATTGGATGGCCATGAACATGCTGCAGGCTTCCCGCATGCGAGTGCTTCGGTCATCCGAGGGCGACATGGCTCCCATGCTATCGATCAGCAACTTCCTACACCTGTCCAGTGTTCGTCCGGAGGATGGCCAGCAGGAGGAGTGGTTCATCTCGGCCGGCCAGCTGCTGCCCAATGCCCAGTACATCGAGCCGCGGTCCATTCGCCTGGCCGATGCACATCAATTCATGCGGGGGTTCTGCAAGGACCCGCTCACGGCAAGCAGCACCGCCGGCGCCGCCATGTCCCCCGGGCCGAGCCCCTCGTCCGGCCTGCTGGATGCCTCTCTCAGTGCCAGCATCTTGCCTCTCCTGCTGCCCGGGCAGTCGGCACCCGAGGGGGGCATCCTGGGCCGGACTTCCGCCGGCGTGCCCCCCACCGTGGGTGGTCTTGCTGCCCTGGTGACCGGGGCCTCGGCCCAAGAGCCCACCTGGGACAATGTGAAGCTCCGCCACCTGACCCCCTATCCGAAGGCCATTCACATGCCTTGGTTCTCGCAATTGCAAGAGCCACCACCGGTGGAGTCCATCGGCACGGCCTCCGGGCCGCATCCTCCGGGCCTGGCCAAGCAGGCTCTCAGCCAAATGAACAATGTGATTACCATGGTCCTGAGCATTGAAGCCGGCCCGGCGCCGGCTGACATCGGCTTCGGCGGCGAGGCTCCGCTGCGCTTGTGCGACATCCATGGCCGGCCGTTGGCCCCGCTGTCGCACCTGGCCACGAGCATGATCCAGGTCCGCGAATTGACCGACACCCGGGACTTCGCCATGTCCGAGTGCAGGATCCGCTCCTTCCCCCTGCCGTACCCGGAGGAGGAGGTCTTTTTGCGGCCAGCCATCTTTGACAGTGGCTTCTACCCGCAGGGCATCCAGCTGGTTCGTGTCCCGGCCGGCTCGGGGCCCGGTGCCCAGCAGGATCTTCTCCTGGTCCATCGTAGCACCCTGCCGCTTGACGACACTTCGGCCTTCGGGCAATGCGACGAGATTCTGGTCGAGGTAAGTCCTCCGGCTCCGAGTCGCCTGCCTTGGCATTATTCCACCGCCAATGCCCTGGGGCTTGGCTTAGGGGTGGATATTTCCATCGTTTTGATGGACTCCGTGCGGGACATTTACCCGGCGCACCCGGTCCAGCAGCCTGGCCTGCTGATGCTTCTGGACAGCTCGGCCTGCATCTGGCTCCTGGATCCGGCTGATCAATCCATCACCAACACCGTGGTGACGTTGTTGGATCTCGGCCAGAAGGCCGAGATTGCCCTCGTCCGGGCCGATGGCCGGGGCGACAGCATTGTCCTCATGGATCTCGGGTGCATCTCCAGCAGCCGGTGCCAGAGCTTGCCGATCGCGGATGACAGCCTGTCGGCCACCTCGGCTGCCGGCGGCAGCGGCCTCGGCGGCAGCGGCAGCATTCGCGACAACTTCGGCTGCCCGATGCATGTCCTGGAGCATGAGCCCATCACCGAGGATGTGATCCTCCGCCGGGTCGATGTCAATGGCGATGACATGATGGATTATGTCCTGCTGTACCCGGGCTCCGGCCGGCTGGTGGCCTATTTGGTCTTGACCTTCGAGCGGACCTCCTTCCGCCGGGTGGTCATGCTTCCGGGGAAGAGCGCCCCGGCCGGTGTGGCCGCCGCGCCCGGGAAGACGGACATCCTGCTGACCGATGTCGACCAGGATGGGCATGTGGATGTCTTGCTGTTCGAGCAGTCTTCCGACCCGGATGCCCCCTCGACCTTCACGATCTTCGGCCGCTCGGACCAGACCAGTGGCTGGTGCCCGCCGGGGGTGGATTTCGACCCGGCCACCAGCCAATGCTCCTGCCTTGGCCTCAATCGCTTCATCAGCCCGCTGTCGGATGCATGCGAGTGCATCCAGCACGCGGTGCCGGCCGGCCCGGGCGCCCAGGATTGCGTCTGCCCATCGGGCATGACCGGCGACTTCAGCGCCTGCATCTGCCAGGTGGGGCTGCTGCCGGTGGCCAATGAGGCCACCGGGGTGCCGGTGACCCCGCCCCGGTGCGACGCGTGCCATGGCAGCTGTGCCAGCTGCTCGGCCACTCGGCCTGGCATGTGTGCCTCCTGCCGGCCGGGGGAGCTCCTGCAAGCGGGCACCTGCGTGGCCGGGTGCAGCCCGGGGTTCGCCCTGTCGCAGGACCTGCGCCAGTGTCTTGCCTGTGCGGCCGGCTGTGCCGCCTGCAATGGTCCCTCGGCCAGCCAGTGTACCGCCTGCTCCGGGAATCGCTTCCTGCCGGGCAATGTGCCGGGCCGGTGCCAGCCCTGCGATGCCGCCTGCGCCGGATGCGATGGGCTGACGGCTCGCGACTGCAAGGCTTGTGCGCCTGGGTGGCTGCGCGCGCCCTCGGGCGAGTGCGTGCGCACCTGCCCCGAAGGAACCAGCATCTCGGCCCCCGGGTCGAACCAGTGTCAGCCATGCGCCGACGCCGGGTGCCTGTCCTGTGTGACGGCCCAGCCGGGCGCCATTTGCCGGCTGTGCCAGGCCGGCCTGCAGATTGATGCCACCGGCAAGCGGTGTCTCCAGTGCCACGAGACCTGTGCCACTTGCGATGGGAATGGCCCGGGAGACTGCCTCACCTGCGGCCCGGGGCTCCTGCTGAGTGGGTCCTCTTGTGTGGGGTCCTGCCCGGCGGGCACCTTTGCCAATGGCTCGTCCTGCGATCTGTGCTCCGGCCGCTGCGCCACCTGCAGCGGGCCCCTGTCGACCGAATGCCTGTCCTGCCCGACGGACTGGCTGCTCCAGGAGGATGGGTCATGCCTGCCGGACCCCTGCCCGACCTGCGAGGCGTGTATCGATGTCCACTGCGAGTCGTGCAGCCCGACCAACCCGGGGCTCTGCGTCATTTGTGCGGCCGGCAAGCTGCTGCTGCCGGATGGCACCTGCGCGGATGCCTGCCCCTCGGCCATGTACCTGTCTCCCAGTGGCGATGCGTGCCTTCCCTGCCATGGCAGCTGCGCCGAGTGCTCGTCCCACCGGGCGAGCTCCTGCACCGCCTGTCCCGGCAGCAATGTCCTGGATCGGGGGTACTGCCGCGCGGCATGCCCCTCGCTGGGCTACTTCCAGCAGGACCGCACCTGCCAGGCGTGCGATGCCACCTGCCTGTCGTGCACCGGCCCCGGGCCCGGGCAGTGTGACCTCTGTCCCCGTGCGCGTCTCTCCCATGACTCCCACTGCCTGGATTCCTGTCCGGACAGCAGCACCCCCCTCCATGGGGAGTGTATCGGCTGCGACGCTTCGTGCGCCTCGTGCTCCGGCCCGGCGGCAAGTCAGTGTACTGCCTGCGCGTCGGACCGGCCGAGCCTCTGGCAGAGCGCCTGCCTGGAAACCTGCCCGATGGGCACCTTCCCCGGGCAGGAGGCCAATGTCCTGGACACGTGCATGTCCTGCTCGCCGTACTGCCAGTCGTGCGCCGGGCCGGAGGGCACCCAGTGCTCCGAGTGTCTGGACGGCCTGCTGCTGCACCCGGCATACGGGTGTGTGGGCATTTGTGGCGCCGGCTACCTGGCCCAGGGTGGCCGGTGTGTCTCCTGCGACGCCACGTGTCACCAGTGCCAGGACTCCGCCGACTACTGCACCCAATGCCCGGCTGGCAAGCTGCTCGGCACCACGGCCGGCACCTGCGTCAGCCGGTGCGGCGACCGGGAGTTCGCCGACCTGACCGTCCCCCTGTTGGCGCGGTGTGCGGCCTGCCACCCGGATTGCGCGTCCTGCATGCATGGGTCCCGGCCCGAAAACTGCACCGCCTGTCCGCCGGGCCTCTTCCTGATGACCGGTGTCGGGTGCGTGGGCCAATGTCCGACCGGGTACTTCGCTGCCGAGGACCTGGTGGCCGGGACCCAGGTGTGTCTGCCGTGTGTGGCGGGCTGCGCCGCGTGCACCGGGGCCGCCGCCACCCAATGCACCCGCTGCATGGATGATCGCCTGCTGATGGTTGAGTCGGGCGATTGCCGGCCGGCCGGCGAGGACACCTGTCCGACTGGCTGGCATACGGATCAGGCCAAGAGGCACTGCCTGCGCTGCCCGAGTGGGTGTCTGTCATGCCCCGGCTCGCCGGGCGACTGCGAGGAATGTGGCCCCGGCATGCAGTCCATCCGGCTGCTGGACCGCGAGGCGACCGACGCTTCGCCCATCGGCACCGGGCCGCGCACCTGCGTGGCCGAATGCCCCGGTGGGTGGTACACGCCCGAGCCCGCGGCCGACATGTGCTCGGCCTGCGACGCGGCCTGCATCACCTGCACCGGCCCGGGCCCGGATGGCTGCCTGCAATTTGACTGTGGCTCGGAGTATGGCTGCCCCGGCAGGAGTGCGTCTGCTGGTTTGCTTTTCTTTCTTTCTTCCTTTCTCGCCCGCCCCCGGGCTTGGTCTTTTGCACGCCGCACGCGGCCCCCCCCCCCCCCCCCTTGTGGCCGCGCCTTCCTTGGTTCCTCTGCTGACCGTGTCCTGTTGGCCATCGGGGGGCGTCCATGGCATCATCCTCCACCAAATGGCGCGTGCGCTACCATGCCCTCGCGTGCAGGCGGCCGGTCGATCCTCATCCTGGCCATTGTCCTGCCGGTGGTGCTGGGATTGATCTTGCTGCTGGTCCTCATGTACTTTGCCATGCGCCGGGCGCGGAACTCCGCCAAGGACTCCATGCATCCGGCGTCCTTCGACAATCCGGAAAACATGACCGTGCTCAACACCCTTGTCGGTATGTGGCCCTCCCTCTACCGGGGCCCCCTCGCCAGGGGGTTCTCCCCTCGGTGAAGATGCCCCAACTCCCCTCCTGTGCCCGCTCTCCCCCCACCCCACCTTCGCTGCCCCTCTCGGCCGTTCTTGTCGCCTTTCGCTGACTCGACCTGGTGGCTTCGGCTACGGCCGTTATTGCTTCCCCCCCCTCCCCCCCCCCTCCTCGTGCCGGCAGAGCTCGCACTGCCTGGATACCTGCTGATGACGAGCGGCACCGACTTCCGCATCGAGAGCGGCGCCATGCCGTTGGGTGAAGGGTCGCAGGCTCAGGTCCTGCCTTGCACGCTGCTCAACCAGGACGCCATCATCCGCAGCGGAGCCAGCGAGTGTGCCATCAAGATGCTCAAGGAGGGTGCGTAAGAAGCCCATTGTGTTTTTTTTCTCCACCGGCCCATGGCGCTCCCCTTCCCCCCGAACACGCGGTCTGCCGAAGCTCCTGACATTCCCACATCCGGACCTATGTGTGTCCTTCCCTCCGCACGCGCGTGGCTGGTCCCCTCCCTCTCCCCCAACAGATGTGCCTCATCGCGAGCAGCTCGAGATGCTCCTGGACCAGGAGATTTCCATCCTCAGGTGCGATCGACATCCCGGCGTTCTCCCCCCCCCCCCCCCCCTCCCCCGTGCCACCAGCTGAAAGATGCCCAACTGGTCTTCTTACCACATGCTACCTCCCTTCCTGCGGGGTGGGCGGCTTGCCAACTACGTGTGTGTCACACAGTGCCCTGCGTGACGGGTCGCCGAATGTCTGCCACATTGTCGGGTTCTGCAATGCCCCATTCAAGGGGCTGATCATGGTCAGCTATCCCGGTGTCCTGTCCGACCTTCTCCGGGTCCCGGATGAGCCGCTTCTTGCGGCGGAGTTTATCCCCAACATTGCCATGCAAATTGGTACGTCCCCCGAAGCCGAGCAGTGTCTCCCCTCGGCGGGCGGTCCCTCGCCCCAGCGCCATCAAGGCGCGGCATTTGCTCCGCCTTTCCAAGTAGGGGGGGTGCTCCTTTGTCGGCACTATTCCGCCGTCCCCTCTCCCCCTCTCCCTCTTTACCCCTCCCCCTCCCTCCCCCCCTTTCCCTCTGCCCTCCACACACACACTCACCCACGGCCAATCTCGCCCGTCACCTCAGCCGACGGCCTGAAGTACATCCACTCGCAGAACATCATCCACCGAGACTTGAAGCCACAGAACATCTTCATCCGGCCGGACCCGGTGGACTCCCGGCGTCTGCAGCCGATCATCGGCGATTTCGGTGTGGCCCAGGTGCTCAGCCGGGCCACAGCCATGGGCCCGGTCGCGGAGATCCAGGCGGCCAGTGCGCCTTACGCGCCACCGGAAATCCTGCTGCGCATGCTCGGCCGCAGCACCCCCGGCCAGGAGACCCCCGACGCGGACTTCCTCCTCGCGGGAGATGTCTACTCGCTGGGTGTGGTTCTCTTTGCCCTGGTGGTCGAAGGTGGGGCCGTATGGCGGGGTCTCTCGCCGGAGGTGGTTGCCGATCACGTTGTGGCCGGCCATCGGCCGGATGTGTGTCCCACCTCCGGCAGCTCTGTCCCCCTGCGTCTGTCAGCCTCCTCTGCTCCCGCCGGAGGGGCCCCCTGGCTGGAGAGCTACCTGGAGGTCGTGCGTCGGGCCTGGTCCGCGGACCCGATGGCGCGCCCTTCCGCGGCGGGAATCCACCATGCGCTCTCCATGCTCCATTGAAAAGCTGGGAAAAGCGCCACGATTACTGTCTCTCTCTCTCTCTCTCTGTCTCTGTCTGATGCACCCAAGCTTGCTATGCGTCCTGCTTCTGGCAGCTCTAATACACGCACACCGCTTCTTTGTCTATTTCTCTCTCTCTCTCTCTCGGCCCCAGCTTCCCCTCCTCCGGGGCAAATTCCCGCTATTCTGGCCAAAGCCCAGGTCAATCCCGCCGCCGGGGGAAGTGCACCCGGCGGTGCAGGGGCCAGTTGCCACCCACGGTGCAGGGAAAACCACTCTCGGAGGGTCTGCCCCCCTCATACGAGGGGAGATTAGTCTTGTGGTATGATTCTCGCTTCGGGTGTGAGAGGTCCCGGGTTTGATTCCTGGCTCTCCCTTATCCCCTTGGACCCTGCCAGTGGCTCCCCCTATGAAGAGGGCGGCCGTGTGTGTGGGAGAGAAGGGGGGGGGGGGAGGAAAGGGCAGAGACAAGGAAAGATAAAAAGGGGCAAAAGAGTACCCAAACGAAAATAGTGGCAAGAGGCTTGCTGCCAGGAGCGACTAGCAAGAGGGAGAGAGAGAGAGAGCAAGAAGGAGAGAGTAATGGACGCAGAGAGGGGGAGAGGGAGAGAGAAAGGAGGCCAACGCCCACCAGCCAAGCAACTTGCGGAGGAGGCCCCCCACGAGGAGGTGTCTATGTAAAAAGAGCAAAAGTGGCAGGGAGGACAGGCACACGGACACACCCAGACATGTGCTGCCCACCGCGAGAGGAGGCCTTCCGACCGAGAGCAGGATTCCACGGCCGGGAGCTCAGTGTCTGCTTTAGGCGGGGGATGTCGATTCGGTGGCAAAGCATCCAGGGGGGGTGCATTTCCTTGAAGAATGAAACGCCGGCCACCTGTGCGCTCCGGTGGCTCCTCTCCACCCCAAGTGCCCGGCCGACGGATCCTCTCCGCGCCCAGTGACTCCGGCCCTTCTCTCGCTGGTTAGGGTTTGGCATCTGGGCGAATGAGCTGACTCTCGGCGTTGGATTGTCCCTTGCCAGTCTTCGACAGCTGGGCATCTCATGAGCAATGAGGATCCTGCTTCGCTTGGCCGCGCGCAAGGCAGGCCTTGTGTGTCGACAAATGAACATTGCCTCGAGAAAGGTCGAAGTGCGGTTCGTGTGGCCTTGCCCTCCGGCGCATCGAGATTAGCTTGCCCATTGGTCTCGGACAATCACCACATGGTGATAAATGTTGTAGGCAATATAAAATGCCAGCATTTGGAGAGGCCATTCGGATGAAACACAGTCGAACGCCGGAAAAGAGACCACAATCTTGCTGAATCTCAAACCGGATGTCCCAGTTAAGAACCTCGACGGCCCTCGCAACGCCAAGACGCACCGGCGAGATCACACGGATCCGCGGAAATCACAGGCCGAGGACCGGAGTGACGGAGCTCGGCCTCGCCAGGGGGCTCCGCGAGGGAGGATACTCGGGCGAACTCTGACCCTTCAGAAGAGACGTCGACTTGTGCAGAACCACGCGCGGTGTTCAGCGTCGACACCGCGCCAGCCCCGACGACCCCTCGACCTGGCTGCGGAAGCCGCCACCGAGGGCGGCAATGGAGGCAGGCCACCGGATGGGACGAAAACACACAGGCAGCCTCCAAGCGAGAAGGGCCGACTCTCGGCCTCCCGTGCTGGGGCCAAACAACCGGGCGGAGCCAGCGAGAATCGACGCTCGAAGCACTCAGGGGGGGATGATGACCGATTGACGCGTGTATTGGGAGAGGGGGGGCGCGCGCTTCGTGTGGGAGGGAAAGAAAAAGGGACAAAAGAGACACAACGACAGGGAGGATGGGCAGGGGATGTGGAAGAGGAGAAGGGAGGAGAGGGGAGGGGCAAACATGGGTGTCTTTCTGCCCCGTCGTGGCCGCCCCGCACCGCCGGCTGGGACATTGGGCCAGGCGCGCAGCCGCCGCGCACCACCCTCACAGGTAGAGGGAGGCAGCGAAAACGATATCGCGCTTGATGCGGGTAATGGCGTCGGCAAACTTGTTCTCCAGCTCGGCCGAGCCGATGGCCTTGGCAGCCGAGCCCATCTGGCGGAGAAGCTCCTCCAGGCGGCGAATGCACCGAATGATGCTTCCCTCGAAGACCTCGGTCTGCTTGGCCACGTCGCAGAACTTGGCCCCGGAGGCCCACTGGAAGACGACGTCCATCAGCTCGGGCTTGAACTTCTCCAGGTAGGTGGACTCGTCGAGGGCGAGCTTGCACTCGGCCGACACACGGGCAATGTGACGAGCGGTCTCCTGCAGCTGGCGCAGGGGATTGGCCAGCTCCTCGCGCATGGGCGGCTTCTTGTCGTCATCCTTGCCGACACGCTCGTCGAACACCGTGCACGAGAGGATGGCACAAATCTGCTCCACCGACAGGTCATTGAAGACACCATTGAGCATCATCTCCGTCAGGAGGAGCTCATCGCCGGTGCTGATCTCGCACGCCACACGGCCCTTCAGCTCCATGACGTCAGACATGGAGGTGAAGCCCAGGCGCCGGAGGACACGCTTGCGCGCCTTCAGCTCGTCCATCTGCATGATGGAGGTGGCGTCACGAATCTGGCGCTTCTTGTTCTGTTGCGGGCGAGTTGTCGAACTCCGGTCAGTGCCTGATCGGGGAGAGGGCGAGGAAGGGGGGGGGGGGGGGGGGGGGGGAGCGAGTAGAGGGGCGAGTGGAGGCAAGGCACACAGGGGGAGGCCCAGAGGAAAAGACATTCACGCACTCGAATGTCCTCAATGAGGGTCATCTTCTCGGAGTAGACCTTGTGCACAGCGGCCAGATCGTCGGCCGTGTGGATGTCCATCTGCTGGAGAGCCGCCTCCAGGGAGCGAATCTTCTCAATGAGCTGGGCAAACTTCTCGTCGGTGATGTTCATGTCGGTGACCGGGTCCAGCAGGGGGACGCCGGACTTGAAGCGGCGCTGCACCTCGGCGATGGTGTGCTCCAGACGCTGGCGAGCGTCGCGCTGCTTCAAAGACGCCGGCAGCTTCAGCCGCACCGAGGAGATGCTGTAGATGGTCGACGGGAGGACCGGGATCACCTGCATCTCGGCGGACTGCTGGGCATCGGCCGAAGCCGGCTCCGCAGACTTCATGGCGTTGTTGATGGACGCACACTTGATCAGCACGTCGATCACATACTTGGTGGACTCGTCGTCGGTGTCGGCCGCACCGGCCGGCTGGATGGCCCGATGGTGGCTGTTGGTCTTCTTGGTGAAGTTGACCACCACGCCCCAGCCGAAGTCCTGGTCGCCATTGCGGATCTGCGGCCAGTGTGGCCACATTTCATGGAGCACAGCGGGAGGGGGAGGGTGAGTCGGCGGCCGAATGGCGGGGCTTGGGGCGTTGCAGACCATTGGCGAGGATGAGGCCGGCAGACCGGGCGCCACACGTACGCGAACCAGACGTCCAGGCTGGAGGAAGGGCACCAGGAAGGTCGGATGGGTGATCACCTTGCGGACGCTGTCATTGAGGGTGGCGATTTGCTGCTCGATCGAGTAGTAGGCAGCGATCTCGTCCTCACGGGGAACGACAATCTCATCGCGCTTCTGTTCCAGCAGAGCGAGGTCTGATTGTTGGAGGGGAAGTGAAGGAGGTGAGAAAAAAAAAAGAAGGGAAGAGCAGAGGATTGGCACATCCGTCAAATGGTGCCTCAAAGAGAGAGAGATAAAGAGAGAGAGAGAGAGAGAGAGAGGGAGAGAGACGCGGAGGGAAGGAAACAAGGAAAGCCACGGGGCAACGAACCGTTCTTGAGCTTGGGGACCGAGGAGTTGTTCTGGAACTGGAAGAAGGAGCGCTCCAGCAGGAACTCCGGGTTGACCTCCTCCACACGCATCAAGTTGAGAATCATGTTGTACGAGAGGTAGAAGGCGGAGTTGAGGTTGTCCGCGCCGCCGGTGAGCATATCCCGGCAGGCAGGCGGGTCGATCTTCTCGTCGAGCATCTGGATGACGATACCACGGTCATCGAGACCACGACGACCGGCACGGCCGGCCATCTGGGTGTACTCGCCGGAGGAGACCCAGCGGAAGTCATTGCCATCGTACTTGCGCACGGCCGTGAAGACCACAGTGCGCGCAGGCATATTCAGACCCATACTGAAGGTCTCGGTGGCGAAGAAAACCGAGGGCAGGCGAGGGGGGGGGGGGCAAACGATCAGAGAGACGAACGGTGTTCCTACCTTGCTGGCTTTGTCGGCGGGAGAGGGAGAGGGAGAGAGAGGGGAGAAGGGGAATGCGCCGGCTCGCGAGCATAGACACCCGGCAAGTGACGGAAGGAGAGGAACAGCAGCAGGGGAAAGAAAGATCGGGCGCACCTTGATCAGGCCCTCCTGGAAGAGAATCTCAATGACCTCCTTGATCAGGGGCAGCAGACCGCCATGATGGATGCCGATACCACGCTTCAGCAGCTACAGAGCGGATTTCCATGGAGATGGAGGGAAAGTTAGGGAGAGAGAAGGAGAGAGAGAGAGAGGGAGGGAGGGAGGGAGAGAGAAGGAGAGAGAGAGAGGGAGGGAGAGGGAGAGAGGGAGAGGGAGAGAGAGGACAAAGTCACTCATGACATCCGCCCATCAGCAAGAGAGACAGCGAGAGCAGAGGAATTCCAACCCCCGGGGGGGGGAGGTAACGGGGACTCGTCGGAGCAACGTACGGGCAGGATGTGCTGGATCTGGGGGAGGGTCTTGTCATCCTCGGACAGGCTGTCGATGGCGTTGTTGTAAACATCCTCCACCATCTGCTTGTCCTCCTCGCTGTTGAAATCGAGCTTGGAAATCTGCAGGGCCAGGCCCTCGACCTCGCGCTTGCTGAAGGCGAAAATGATCACCGGCTGGTAGTGGCGATCCATGATCATCTTGACAATGCGGAAGATGTCCGAGCTGGAGCCCTTGCTGCGCATGCGCCGAGCGCGATCGCCAGCCTTGAAGGACCCCCGGCCGGACTGGCTCTCCGTCACCAGGGCCATGGCCTTGCTGAAGTTGTCCTCACGGATGCGACCCTTCTCATCGACCACCAGGTAGATGCCATCACCGCCACTGGGGAAGAGGTAGTGCTGCAGGGGGGTCGGACGGTAGTCGGTGTAGACCACATGGCAGGGCTGGGCATCCGAGGCAGGTGGCCAAGCAACAGGAGGACCACCGGGGCACCGGGGTCCGGGCGAGGCACATGTGGGTTAGTTGACGGCGAACAGGCGGGAGGCCCAGTGCAAAGGATGATGAACGGCCCCGTACGGTCTGGTGGACGTGGCAAATCCAATCGGCGAATTCCTTGGCGTTGGGAATGGTGGCCGAGAGGAACACATGGTGCACGCTCTTCGGCAGCATGATGATACTCTCCTCCCAGACAACGCCACGCTCCTTGTCACGCATGTAGTGAATCTCATCGAAGATGACCCAGGCCACCTCGCGCATGACCTCCGACCCGCGATAAAGCATGTTTCGGAGAATCTACCAGCGATGATCAAAGTTAGACGAGGTGCACAGGAGGGGAGGGGGGGGGGGGAGGGGAGGAAGAGAACAGCCCGGAAAGAAAAGACAGGTGGCCACGCACTTCGGTGGTCATGACCAGGCACGAGGCATTCGGATTGATGGTGACATCACCGGTCATCAGGCCGACATCACCGAAGTCCTCCAGGAGCTCGCGGTATTTCTGGTTGGACAGGGCCTTGATGGGGGAGGTGTAGATGACACGCTGCTTGTTGCGCAGGGACACAGCGATGGCATACCTGCGACGCACAGGCGAGCAGCCAGCCGGGGCAGGTAGGCCCGAGGGCAGGGGGGAGGGGGGCGGGTCAGAGGTGTGGTCCTAGGCAGCCGCCAGGGCACAGCAGTCGAGCCAACGTACTCGGCGATGACAGTCTTACCGGCGGAGGTGTGCGCCGACACCAGGACCGACTCATTGCGCTCGATGATGTTGACCGACCAGCGCTGGAAGGGATCCAGCACGAAGGGGTACTGCCGAGCAGGGTTGGCCGGCATCGGCAGGTCCACCAGCTCCTCGTACGGGTACCCCGGCGGGACGGCCACCTCGTGGCGGACCTGACATTGGGGGGCCGGGGGGGGGGGGGGGGAAAGAAAAGAGACAAAGCACACAAAGGATGTTAGGCGGAGGGGAAGGCCGGCAGGACGGAAGGCAGCAACCGTAAGGTTAGACATTTGGAGTGCGTACGGCCTTCACGTTGGAGGCGATCAGCTCCTCGTCAGTGACCACAGCAATGGGGCCCTTCTTCTTGGCAGCGGCGGCGGCAGCGGCGGCGTCGGCCGAGACAGTGACCGAGGCGGTCGACACATCATCCGTGGCCTCGGCCTTGACCTTCTTGACCGCGGGCTGGGTGCCCTCGGGGTTGGTGTCATCCAGCAGGTCAATTTGGATGTTGTTGTCGGCCGCAGCCGGGACGGCGGGCGTGCTCATGGTTCCGCAGGGG